AAAGAGACTCAGGTCATGGAAAGGACCCCTCCTCTACCACTAGACGAGTCGTCAAACATCTTGTGGAGCTGCCCAAACCACGGCACAAGGGGCACATGCTTGTTATGTGTCATACTATACCAGAAGAGCATTAAAATAGTTGCCGCCAGGCAGTGGTGGTGCATGCCTTTAACCCCTTTAATCCCAGTGCTCAGGAGGCAGAGGCAGGAGGATCTCTGTGAGTTCGAGACCAGCCTGGTCTATAGAGCGAGTTCTAAGACAGCCAGGGTTACTCATAGAAACCCTGTCTTGAAAAACCAACAAACAAAAAAGCTGACAATAACTCATAAAATATATCAAGAGTGCACCATGCAGCAGAGGAGAAACAGGAGGAAACAAAATGGAAGGCTAGGAGGGGAGAAAAGACTATATATTTAAGTCCTAACATGTGTATAACTTAACCACATGCCCAATTCAGTGTCCTTAAAATAAGATTAAACTGCATGCTAGGAAGAAATTAAATTATTCCTGCCACTGAGAGTCAACAAGAAGTTTCTTGCTGGGGGCTGGAGAGGTGGCTCGGAGGTTAAGAACACTGACTGCTCTTCCAGAGGCCCTGAGTTCAATTCCTGGCTCACAACCATCTACAATTCAGTCTGGTGCCCTCTTCTGGCAGAACACTGTATATGTAATAAATAAATAAATCTTAAAAAAAAATAAATTTCTTGCGAATCATCATAAAGGCAATAAGATGTAATGTAATGGTCCTCAACAACATTCTTAGGGTGGAAAGAATACACCTCTCAAGAAGCTTATTCCTAGTAGAGTCTGGAATAGGGGGCCAATGAGGGAACTCAGGACCAAGAATAACCAGCCCTGATCTCAGCCACCAAAGAGGTCATCAACCACACACAGTTAGGACAAATCTGAAGTATCACTTACTTGTGGGTATTTAAGGGACAGTGTCTATAAAAATGAAGTTACAGAGAGATCACTCAGCAGTTAAGAGCACTGGCTGGTCCTCCAGAGGTCCTGAGTTCAATTCCCAGCAACCACATGGTGACTCACAACCATCTGTAATGAGATCTGGTGCCCTCTTCTGGCATAAGGGTGTATATGCATACAGAACACTTTTATATATAGTAAAGGAATTTTTATTTTTTAAATTACATATAAAATAAAACCTGAAATTGAAATTAAGAAGTAAAAACAGATGCTGTTGACTAAATGGGCACGGACATGAGTAGGGCTTACCTAACACTCCAGCGCCGCCCCCCCAAAAGCACAGGTGTTAAATGTAGTCACTCCCGCTCCACTGTTCCTGCGCACAAGAACACAGTCCAAACTTAGCGCCGCGTCGTGGGTCCGCACTGCCGACCAGCCTCAGCGGCGCCTGGGCTTGGGGGCTCAACAAGGGAGGAGCCTAAGTTCCGGTACCCAGCATACACCCCGAGGTGACAATGCTCCAGACATAATAAAGTGTGGCATGAAAACCTGTGTCACCTATTTCTCGGCTGTTTCACGGGGTCTTCTGGAACACTTTAAAGTCCCACGTGAAAAGAAGCCCCCGGCATCACCATCTGACCGACTAAAAGCGGAGTATGTGGGCGGGGCCAGAAGAGCCGGCTGGCGCGAACGCCGCCAGACACTCCAGGCGCCAGGGGAGTGCGCGCTGAGGGCGTGGCCAAACCCGGAAGGGGCAGGAACTCGGACCTGCGAGGACTTCCACAGCCTCCTGAGGAGACCGCCTGCCACCGAAGGTGGCCACGCTTCTCCAGAGACGGGATAGTTCCCTTGGCTCCGCCCCAAGCCCCGCCTCTGGCCTATGGGACTAGAGTAGAGACCGGAAGGAGGCAGAGCCTCGGTCCCTCCAGAAAGAGGCATCCTAGGTCCACAGCGCCCTCTGTTGATGCTACCAGGACTTGCATGGAGCTAGTCCGGCCGACTACCTCATACCTAAGAAAAATTAGGCAGAACGCTACCTAAAGACACCAGACTCAAATGGCTACATACTCTAAGTCTCTTTAACATTTTGCAAAAAAGCACAACTATAACATAAATATGCCCTTCAACAACACAAACTGGGGGTACAATGAGGATATACTAGCTCCTATCCTGATGGTGTCTACTCCATAAAACAAAGCTCACAACCAACAAGTGTGAGTTTCAACTAATGCAACTACACTGTTTTGTGTGCTCGTTTGTTCTGTTTTTCCAGACAGGGTTTCTCTGTGTAACCCTGGCTGTCCTGGAACTCACTTTGTAGACCAGGCTGGCCCACCTGCCTCTACCTTCCAAGTACTGGTGCTGGAATTAAAGGTGTACACCACTGCCTGGCTTTTTTGTTGTGTGTGTGTGTGTGTGTGTGTGTGTGTGTGTGTAGCCCTGGCCAGACTTAAAACTATTATATACAGACTATGCTGGCCTCAAATTCAGAGATCCACCCACCTGCCTCCTGAGTGCTGGGATTTGTTTTCAAGTGTGCCATGGTACATGTGTGGACGTCAGAGAACTACTTGCAGGAGTTAATTTTCTTCTCGCACCATGTGGGTCCTGGGATCAAACCCAGGTAGGCTTTGCAGCAGGCAGCTTCACCTACTGATTCATCTCGCCAGTGTCCACGATTTTGTTTTGAATACTGAGATTGGTGGCTACCAGGGATGGGGGTCCCAGGTGGGTAACAAAGGCGACTACTTTACAGAAAGGGACTCATTTTGAAGTTGCGGAGGTATTTTGGAGTTAGGTAAGTTTATCAACATTGTGAATGGACTAGGTTCACCTGTGGGTTTTTTCCACAGCAGTAGTTCCTTTTAATTATGTGGTGTCCATCTCTTTAATAATATACAACAAAATAACTTCACTTCAATGTTTTTTTAAATTGGATTATGACTGGGATACCACTTTCCAATTTGTTATTTTCTTTTTTTTTTTTTTTTTTTTTTTTTTTTTTGGTTTTTCGAGACAGGGTTTCTCTGTGGCTTTGGAGGCTGTCCTGGAACTCGCTCTGTAGACCAGACTGGCCTCGAACTCACAGAGATCCGCCTGCCTCTGCCTCCCGAGTGTTGGGATTAAAGGCGTGCGCCACCAACACCCGGCTTATTTTCTATTTTCTTATCCTTGTTTTTATTGAGCACATTTTCCCCCTTCCCTCCTCCCCTCTCCCTTTCCCCCCTCCCCCATGGCCCCCATGTTCTAGGTTCACTTGTAAAATGAGGAATTGTATGCCCTGTGAGTTTCTAAAAGTATTTTTGTTTTGTTTTGTTTTTTCGAGACAGGGTTTCTCTATATACTAATCCTGGCTGTCCTAGAACTCACTTTGTAGATCAGGCTGGCCTTGAAGTCACTGAGATCCTCCTGCCTCTGCCTTAAAAGTGCTGGGATTAAAGGCATGCATCACCACTGCCTGGCTCTCAAAGTATTTTTTTAAGATTTATTTATTACATATACAGTGTTCTGCCAGAAGGCACCAGATTGAATTGTAAATGGTTGTGAGCCACCAAGTTGTTGTTGGGAATTGAACTCAGGATCCCTGGAAGAGCAGCCCATGCTCTTAACCTCTGAGCCATCTCTCCAGCCCTCAAAGTATTTTTAAATGTTTAAGTTTTTCCTGCCTTTTTATTGAGTTCACATCCAGAGGCATGCTGGGGATGGAAACTGGCTTTTCTGCTCTGACCTTAGTCCTACAGAGTAAGCATGAATGAGAAGTGGGCCCCGTTGCATAAAGTGATCTCTAGTCACAAAAAGGTTAAGAAACTAGAAGGGCAACCTCCTCCCTAATCAAATGGAAAGAAGCCCTTGAACTACCACAACCTACAACCTTCTGGAAAGGAAAACAGGCTCAGGGGAAGTGACTGTAAAGTTGAACTGAGCACTGGCAGGCCACGACCACTTACATGGCATTGTCACGTAGAGGGCAGATGAGAACACTGGCCTCAGAGGGAAGGTAAGAGACTTGTCCCCCAAACTCTAGCCTGTTGCAGCCAGTCTCCATGTTGCTATTCTGTGTGCCAGACCACAGCAAAACAGCCTTCTTCCTTGGTCAGGCAGTGTTTACTGAGATCAGCCCTCCCCCTCCCCACTCCTCAGCCCAGCTAAGAACAAGGAAAAACTTTCCTGGAGTCTCGGTTCTCTTGGGTGGTTTGGGTTTCCAAGATACGGTTCCTCTGAGATTAAAGGCATGCGCCACTTGGAGCCTGGTTTCATCTGCGCCCATTCATCTGAACCTGTAGGCACCTCTCTGCCTAACCACTAGGTACTGCTCTAAGCCCAGTTCTGAGTTAATTCTGCTCACATGTACTTAGAGCCATATAAAATAGGCATTCGTGCCGGGCGTTGGTGGCGCACGCCTTTAATCCCAGCACTCGGGAGGCAGAGGCAGGCGGATCTCTGTGAATTCGAGGCCAGCCTGGTCTACCGAGTGAGTTCCAGGACAGGCTCCAAAACAATACAGAGAAACCCTGTCTCGAAAAACAAAAAAAAAAAAAAACCAAAAAAAAAAAACAAAAAAAAAAACAGGCATTCGCATGGGGTGGGGTGAGGCGCAAACTCCAGGAAAACAGGGCCATCCTCAGGTGTCCACTGCACTGTAAGTACCCCCCCCCAAATAAACTCAGCTACTCCTAACACACTGGGCTGGCATCTTTGGGTCGTTGGTGCCATCCAAGACTGGAAACAGGTCTTCACTCACAAATCTCTAGGGGACTTGTTAACTGGTGCCGGGGACAGGCACACAGACTTAGGAAGGCATAGGGCTCACAAACCTACCAGAGCCGGGGAGCATCCACGTTGGTTCCTTCCCTCCCGCGGTGGTTGGAGGGCGTCGGGAGCCACTGTCTCCACCCCAGCACACATCCCATTGTTGAAGAGTATTCCAAGACAGCCGGTGGACTGAAGACCCCAGACTCCTCACTGCAACTTCACACACAGCTGAGGGGTGCATTATGTTCAGTCACAACCCTCTGTGCAGGCCAAGCAGCCCAAGCTAGGTTCCCACAACAGTATATCCTCAAGAAATACAAAACTACAAAACAAAGTACAAATTTTATTTTGTTTCTTTACAAAGGCACAATGGCCTCTTGGTATTTTGTTCCCTACCCCCACTTTCTTAACAAAATATAATAGCTTCTCCCTGGACACAAAGACCTCAAAATTATTTTTTAAAAAAAAAGGATAAAAGAAAAATCAAAAAAAATTACAGAAACCAAAACCAAAATAAAACCAACAACGAACAAAACAAAAAGAGAGACGAAGACATTTTTCGGGTCAATGGTGGGAACCCTGGAGGGAAAGGTGGAAGTGGAGAGTGTGGCCAATTCTGGTGCTGAGGTGGGGAGGGAGGGGGAGAGGGAGAATGGCAGCAGCGAACCCCAACCCAGAAACAATGTAGACTCCCGGGTCCCCAGAAAGCCCCAACCCAGCCTGACCCCCAACCCATGTAAGTGCTTAAAAGAGGAAAAAGGAAAACCCAATAGAGGAGGGAAGGGGCTGAAGACTGACCGTCTCCGGCTGGCTCTGGGGAGGGAGGAATACCTTGGGGTTTTGTTTGATTTTCCCTGTTCTTAAAAACACGTTTAAATGGAAGGAAAACAAACAAACAAACAAGAAAAGCTTTTTGGCGGAGAGAGGCCCGGCACCTCAGTGTCAGCTTCCCCGGCCCCAGGGCCGAGGCCCAGCCCTGGAGTCCCAATGCTCCCACACGTGCTATGCCACCCCAAACCCGGGACCTGGGCTTGGATGGCTTCGATCAAAGGTCGACTTACAGTATTGAAAAAGAGGTCATAAAAGAGACCCAAATGACATCATAATTTTGTAAAAATTTCTCACTCATTCACCCATGTTTCTCCCTGTCGTTACCCCGGCCCCCTCTGACCCCCAGAGGGAGAGGAGGGCTGGGGGGTGGTCAGGGAAGCTCCCCATCCCCTAAAGGTTCCTCCCGGCTCTGGTCCATGGCGTCGCTGTCCGAGGCCTCGGAGTCGGAGGCGGTATCGGAGGTGGGTGCCTCTGGGCAGCTGCGGACAGACTTGACGATAACCGCTCGCCTCTGTTCCTCCTCCAGCTCCTGCTTGTCCTGGGTGCCCTCAATGTGCTGGATTGCCTGGACAGAAAGGGACAGTCGATTAGGAGACTTAGCTGAGGAGACCAGGCTGGCCAGCTAAGAGTGGGGACCTTCAGCCAGCTGCTATCTGCCCCCAAAACACGTACCCCAGAACTCTTCAAAGCTGGCAGGGGGTTGAAGGGCCTGGCTTCCAGAAAACCATAGCCCTAGATGTTAGAAACGACAAGCACAGGGGCTGGAGAGATGGCTCAGGGGTTAAGAGCACTGGCTGCTCTTCCAGAGGTCCTGGGATCGATTCCCAACACCCACATGGTGACTCACAAACTCTGTAACTCTAGTAACAGGAGACCTCATACCCACCCTCTTCTGCCCTCTGAGGGCACCACAACAGACATAAATGCAAGCAAAACACTCATACACATAGGCTAATAATAAAATGAAATCTTTAAAAAAAATGACAAGCACAGCTCATGTTTATATATCTTGAAGTCCATTAACTCAGTAAAGGTCTTTGCTATTGGCTGCATTACTCAGTTTGCTGGGCATATATGCAATGAAAGTTCCAGGATTGATAGTCTATTCGCTTTTTCCCTTGGTTCTGCCTTCTGGGTTGTTTTACTATACTATTTATCAACTAATTGAGTATTTTTGCTCACTGCGCTGCACTGGTAGCAGGCCTGGGCTGGAGAGGGTAATTAAGTCTGCACAGTGCTTGCCTTTAAGCATGAGGGCACGGGTTCAGTCCCCAGATTCACTAAAGACAGGCATGGTACCATGAACCTGTAATGTGGGGTGGGGGGAGCAGAGTCAGAAAGATCCCTAAGGTTCACTGTAGCTCATCCTAATTGGTGAGCAACAAACTCCAGCAAGTTCTTGGTCCTTTGGATCCCCACCCCCACTTTCTTAACAAAATAAGAGTGGCTTCTCCTTGGACACAAATATCTCAAAATTATAAAATAAATAAATACAGAAACCAAACCCAAAACAAAACCAACAACAACAAAAAAACAACAGAGAGACAAAGACATTTTGAGGTCAATAATGTGAATCCTCATAAATGAAACATTAGGAGCATCGTGTGTGTGTGTGTGTGTGTGTGTGTGTGTGTGTGTGTGTGTGTGTGTGTGTGTCTGTGTGTCTGTGTATGGGCACGCACATGCATCTCATAGAGAAGATATTTGCTCAAAAAATATAGTAGACATCTTTCATGCATGTTATAAATACACACACACACACACACAGAGATATATAAAAATCTTTTCTTAAAAATAAAACAGTGGACATCTTTCTCTAGAGTCTAACCCACTATCATCAAGGAAACTTCTCTGCAACTGATAGAGAGTGTTGTAAAAAACCAATCTCCAGGCATGGTGGTACACACCTTTAATCCCAGCACTCGGGAGGCATAGGCAGGTGGGTCTCTGTGAGTTCCCAGTCCAGCCTGGTCTACACAGTGAGTTCTAACCAGCTAGGGTTAAACAGAGAAAATCTGTCTTGAAAAAAAAAAATCACAATCAATGAAAACGCAGATTGTGGAGCTATTCCCAAAGGATGCATCTACAATAAAACTTCCCAAACCTAAGGCTCGGGGACCACTGCAGAAAAGGGGAGGGAAAGACTGTACAAGTCAGAGGGTCAGGGAGCTTGCTGTGAAGCCTCATCAACATGACTACGCAGTCATGAGCTGAAAAAAGACGACACCAATAGACATGCCAAAGTGGATGAGCAAGAGCCTACGAGGCCTCAACTCTACACAAAAAAAGACGACACCAATAGACATGCCAAAGTGGATGAGCAAGAGCCTACGAGGCCTCAACTCTACACAAACCCACAGACAACTAAGGATGCTAACAGCAGGAGAAACGGTCTCTCCAGAAGAGCACACACCAATTGGTTGTCCAATACCAAATAAGTGGTCAGCCTGAAAACATATATACAAGTATCTTCCTCGAGACTGAGTAAGGTGTACTGTGTACTTAGGAAATATGTACATCAACCTATATGTATGTAATAACAATAAAGGAGAAAAAGAAGCCATGAATTTGAAAGAAAACAAAGAGTAGTATATGAATTTAGAGAGAGAAAGGGAAGATGAAAATGATTCAATTCTAATCTCAAAATTCAAAGAAACAGGCAGTGGTGATGCACGCCTTTAATCCCAGCACTCAGGAGGCAGAGGCAGGCAGATCTCTGAGTTTGAGGCCAGCTTGGTCTACAGAGTTCCAGGACAGCCAGGACTACACAGAGAAACCCTGCAAAGGGGGGGGGATGACAGAAGGAGAAAAGGAAGAAGAAAACCAAACCAAACCATAGTGGAAGCTCCTAAGGAACAATACTACAAACCTGACATCCTGTTTCCACCCAAATGTGCACCTACACCCACACACCTACACACACATACAAATATATATCACAATATATACAAAGAAAGAAAGAAAAGAGCCATAAAGGTAAGAGAGTTCTAGACTGATTCACAAGCTGAACTAAAACTTACCACCAGGAAGCTCTGAGTGCAGACGCCTCTTAGGGCCTGCAAGGTGATTCAGTTGGCAAAGGCACTTGTCACCAAGCCTTATAAACCTGAATGCATAAGCCTCCTAACCCCTGAGTCCGACAGGTTGGAGAGAGCCTGTTCCTCCAAGCTGTCTGTCCTCTGATCACTACATAGGTTCCATGGCACACGTGTGCACACACACATAATAATTTTTAATTTAAAAAAATCTTTTTCCCAGGGCACAGGGAAAGGGACCTATCCAGGCATCCAGATTGCTGCTGCTCCTCCATAAGTCCCATCTTGCTTTCATTCCATCTCCCATTGCCCAGTCCCCAGTAAAAAGCTTACCCCAAGAGTCAACTCCCACAAGCCACCCTCCCCCGAGCCCAAATACCTGCACAATGGTGTCCAGATTTTGCCGGGACGTGGAAACAGAATTGATGACTGAGGAGGGACCCATGGTGACCACATTGATGTGGTGGGAGGAAGGGGGGACCGGTGCAGGCACAATCACTGTGGGGTGGTGCGTCGGGGCTGGCGCGGGCAGAAGCTGCAAGACAGAAGCCCTCAGTTTCTCTCCCACCCACCACCACCTCCTGCCACACAGGGCATCTGCTCATGTAGATTTTAAATGTCCCCCGGAGCCCACAGAAAGGCTTGGTCGTTGGTATGGCAGTATTAGAAGGTAGAGACCTTAAGGAGAGCCTAAGCTGAGTGTGGTGGTGTACATCTGCAGTCACGGGACGATGACAAATTCAAGGCCACTCTGGGATAGGTAGTGAGCTCAAGGCCCTATCTTAAGAGAATAAAATAATAATAATGGAGTCTGCCAGGCGTTGGTGGTGCACGCCTTTACTCCCAGGGGAGGCAGAGGCAGGCGAATCTCTGTGAGTTTGAGGCCAGCCTGGTCTACAGAGCGAGTTCCAGGACAGCCTCCAAAACAATACAGAGAAACCCTGTCTCAAAAACCAAAATAAATAAATAAAATAATAATAACAGAGCCTAGTGGCAGGCAGTGGTGGAGCACACCTTTAATCCCAGCACTTGGGATGCAGAGGAGGCAGGTGGGATTCAAGGCTAGCCTGGTCTACAAAGTGAGTTCTAGGACAGCCAGGGCTACTACACAGGGCTCTATCCTGTCTCAGAAGAAAGGACAGAGACTGAGGGGGAGGAATAAAAGGGGAGGGACAGGAAGGAAGGAAGCGAGGGAGGGAGGAAGGAAGGAAGGAAGGAAGGAAAGAAGGAAGGAAAGAAGGAAGGAAGGAAGGAAGGAAGGAAGGAAGGAAGGAAGGAAGGAAGGAAGGAAGGAAGGAAGGAAGGAAGGAAGGAAGGAAGGAAGGAAGAGACAAAGTAATTAAGAATAATGGAGCTGAGTAGAAGTTCTTCAGTTAACTGGGCCGGCACATCTTCCAAGGGGACAACAGGGACCCTGCTTCTTTCTCTTTTTCTCTCTTTAGTTTTCTAGCCATGAGGTGAGTAGTTTTGTTCCTGCCATGATATATCATCACTTCACCATGGGTCCAATCAATCATAGTCTGAAGTCTTCCAAACTTGAGCCAAAATACCCTTTTTCTCTTTATAAAATAATTATTTCTGTGTTTGTTACACTGACCAGCAGAGGGGGCCACCAATTCACAACCCACCATTCCCCTCTGACACTACCAAAAAGGAATGGCAGCCCAGCAAGCAGGTCTGTGTACCCCAGACCTCCGGTCCCTTGTCATCCCCGTGTGAAGAAGCACTTCGGGACTTAGTAAATACCTGTTCAAGGGTTTACACCCTGGCTGGGCGTGGTAGCGCAAGCTTTTAATCCCAGCACTTGGGAGGCAGAAGCAGGCAGATCGCTGAGTTCAAGGATAGCCTGGTCTACAGAGTGAGATCCTGTCTCAAAACAGACAAAAAGGAGCATAGTCTGGTGCTGGGATGTAGCTCAGTGGTAGAATGTTTGCCTGACATGCGGAAGGCCCACCACCACACAAAAAAAAAAAGAGGAGGAGGAAGAAGAGGAAGAGGAGGAAGAGGAGAGCACACAATTACAATTCCTGGATTAAGACAGAGGGTTCAAATCCCCTGGGCAGTTTTCTGACCTTTCTCTGGCTCATTTTCCACAGTAATAAAACACTACAACAGCCCAAGCTTCAAAGGGCCGCTTTGAGGATTCAGGAATCGCTTCTTTGCTCTAATGCTCTCAAGATACCTAAAGCCCAGCACGCCTGCATTGCTGTCTGCACCTATGTAGTCTGAGACCTGACTTCAGATTCTGAGGTCCCGGACTCAGCCGGTGAGGGCCCCGCCTGGATCTCCCGCTCACCTGGGTCCGCAGGTGCTGCTGTTCCCGCTCCAGCTTCTCCTGGTGCAGCAACCGCACCTGCTCCTGCTGCTGCTGCAGCTGCACCTGCTGCGCGATCACCTTGAGTTTTTCCGGGTACATGTGGGCCTCAAGGGAACGCACCTGTAAGGGGAACAGCACAGCGCTCAGAGGTGGGGCAGGGCCACACCTGCTCCACCTGCCGCAAAGGCCACTCTCTCACTAAAACCTCAATCCTGGGCACAGGGCCACCCTAAACTAAAACCCTAGCAGAGAGCGCCCCCTTCAGGACAGACCAAAGGCTCTCTCCACTTCACCTCTAAACTTCTGTCTCTACTGTTCCCACCTTCTCCCTTCTTGCCTGGTGGCCAGTCTCCTTATAGAAGCCATGGAGCACACCCTGGGAAGCCAGGTCAAACCCTTCGTGGCGCCACAGAACCGTGCAGTCTTTCCTGGATGCAGTGTTTTGAGTGTGCATGCTGGGGGTGCACTCAGAACTTACATACCAAGCACTCATAAATGAGCTAAACGACCCAGGCCTCTGTTGCATTCTAACACCAGGAAGGAAGGAAGGAAGGAAGGAAGGAAGGAAGGAAGGAAGGAAGGAAGGAAGGAAGGAAGGAAGGAAGGAAGGAAGGAAGCTTTGCCAGGTGGCACACACCTTTAATCCCAGCACTGGGGAGGGAGAGGCAGGCGGACCTCTATGAATTCTTTTTTTTTTTTTTTTTTTTTTTTTTTGGTTTTTTTGAGACAGGGTTTCTCTGTGGCTTTGGAGGCTGTCCTGGAACTCGCTCTGTAGACCAAGCTGGCCTCGAACTCACAGAGATCCGCCTGCCTCTGCCTCCCAAGTGCTGAGATTAAAGGCGTGCGCCACCAACGCCCGGCCCTCTATGAGTTCTAAGCCAGCCTGGTCTACAGAGTGAGTTCCAGGACAGACAGGGCTACACAGAGAAACCCTGTCTTGAAAAAAACAAAACAAGAAAAAAAGAGGGGGCTGGGGAAATGGCTCAGCAGTTAAGAGCACTGGCTGCTCTTCCAGAGGACCTGGGTTCAATTCCCAGCAACCACATGGTGGCTCACAACCATCTGTAGCAGGATCTGATTCCCTCTTCTGGTGTGCGTGAAGACAGATCACTCATATGCATAAAATAAAGATACTAAAAAAAGATAGAACTCTTGACTAATGCTTTTCACTCCTATGCAAATGGAGACTCTGGAGAGCAGTGCCTACTCCTAGGCCAGACACTGTTGCAAAATACTTGAAGGAAGAAACAGGACAGAAAAGGCTACAGAATCCATCCTCTATGCCTACGCATCACACAGGCCAGCAGAGGGCGCTGCCTCACCTGCTCCTCCAGCATCATCCGCACAGAGCGCTCCTTGTCCAGTTGCTGCCGGAGCTCAATCATCTCCCTCCTGAGGTCCTCAGCCTTCTCATCCTCCCAGATGTCGGGTGAGCCAATGCCCTCGTCCTTATCTTCTGCCCGACGCCGCTTGGGGGATGAGCCGCTCAGCTCCTGGGGACCCCAAGAGGTTGGTGAGTGAGCTGATAGAACCATAACATATTCAGGTCATGGGGCTCTACGGCAAGCCCTTCAAAGCTACCCAAGACAGGTGGACTCATACTGGGGAATCCATTCTGCCCATCCACCAAGCAGCCAAACGCCAGGCACGGAAGAATGAACTTGCTTTCTAGAACGGTCACCTGCTTCCTCCAGAGCCTGCCCCACTGTTCTTCACAGATGAAGAGACAGGCCCGGTCAAGAAGTAGGCAGGTTCTGTGGGCAAGACAGGCTGACAGCCATGCCCGCATCCCAAGCTAGTGGCTTGGTTAGGGTACGCACACACAGAAGCGGGAGGCAGGGTACTGCTGGGAGGATTCTCCATCTGGTACCTGGATGAAACGCTTGAGCTGTGTATTCTGCTGCAGGAGTCTAGTCTTCTCCTGCTCGAGAGAGAAGATGTACTCTGCCGTCTGCTGGAGAATGGCTGCCTGAGAGAAGGAGGGAAAGAATCAGACTGACAGTCCTCGCCCATGAGGGCACGGCGCCTCCTCCAGGAAGCCCTCCCTGCTCTTGCCCACCTTGCTGAGTTTCTCTCCATCCGTGTGGGGGATGAGGGTCTTGAGGGACTGGAAGCCTGCGTTGATACTCTGCATGCGCCTCCGCTCGTTGCTGTTGGCAATCTCCCGCCGAATCCGCCTCTCCTGGTCCCGCTGGGTCTCAGGGGTCAGTGGAATGTTGGCAAGGCTGCCGGGGAGAACAGGAGATTCGGGGTGGATGTCACCAGAGGGCCCTGAGTATAACCTGCATCACTTCCCTACTACAAACTGCCTGAGGAACTCTGGCAGGCCTACCCCGCAGATGACGCAGGGTTGTGTGCACCCTGGGATACCCAGTGGGCTGCCTGTGGACACAGGTGGTGTACTAAGAACCCATCCCTTCCCTGACTTCTCTTCCAGAATTCTCTCCTCTAGAAGACATTCTTAGCAGTGCCTGGGAATTGAAATATAAAGGTTCACAACTATGCCATTCCAGTATCTACCTAGCTAGGCAGGGAAGGCCCAGAAACCTGCGTGGCTAATCCCTGCGATTCTAATGCAAGAGGACCCCAGACAGCAGCCAGAGACACCTGCTCTTGGGGTACTTTGAGCTCCTTGCTGTGGATCTGGACCACCTCCTTCAATAGTTCATACTTTGTCACCACAGTCTGGAGAAGACACCCCTCACCCTGTCCACTGGCACAGTTGTTTCCAGCCAGAAGCCTAAAGCCACCATCCCAGCCACTATGAGCTAAGATTATATAAAGGACAAGACAGACAGCAGTCACTCCAGATGGGACACAGGGCCAACCACCCCGTGGGACAGAGAGTTCTGCTTTAACCTGACCCACTCTGAGGCAGATTCACTCTGCATAAAAAAAGTGAGGCTCCCAGCACGCTGTGGAGGATGGCACTGCATGTGGCGGAGGGACCAGCTAACCAGCAGGGTGAGAAAGAAGGCAGCCAGCAGTGGAGGGCCAGCGCCACTGCTCCCAAGGGGTGGGCCTGTGTGTGGCCTGGAGGAGGTATGCCCCCCTCAGCCCTCCCCTGCAACTCCCCCCCCCCCAGCCCCTGGCCTGATGGCTTCCAGATGCTGTGCTCTCAGCAGAGGCCTTCGGCCCCACCCAAAGCCACAGCCCTGGCCTCTTCCTGAGGGGGCCTCCCAGGGTGACCTGTTCCAGGCTACAGCCAAGGAAGCATATACCCATGGGTCTGGGAAAAGAGGCCTCTGACACCTCTCACCTCACTGATGTGGAGTCTGAGGTCAAGGGCGTGCAAGATCTAACTATCTTGCAGTGAGCTGGCTCCTGCCTCTATCCCCAGGGAAAAGCGGGCTGGGGCTGCACGGCAGCTCAGGAGGGAACACATCTGCAACAGCTGGGAACAGCTGAAGCCTGTCCAGCCCCACCCAGCCTATCCCATCTGTCCTGCCTTAGCCCCCTGAAGGACCCTGGGAGCATCCCTGCCCCTTCCAGGGCCTCAGCTTCCTCTCCCAGAAGAAAGGATGGACAGCTGGGAATCAGTTCCCTATTGGCCACCGCAGGGGGCTTGGAGGCAAAGCATGCCCCATTCCACTTCATTAAGCTGGGTCCCTTCATTCAGGGCCCAAAAGTCCAGAATCACTTACCACCCAGAGTATATATATGACCTCTTCTTCCTGGTACATGTCCCATAGGACCTTAAGGAGCCCAGGTCTCCCACTTGATAAACGTGACTTCCCTACTCAGAGCTTAGGCTGGAATAGCTAGAGGTGCAACTTCCTTGCTTCAGACCAGGGTGCCTCCCTTCCCCCAGCCCCAAAAGGAGAGCAATGGGGCATCGGGAAGGAGACAAGGACTCAGACAGAGCAGGACAAGCGGGCGATGCTCCTCAGGCCTTGGAGTCTGGCCTGAACACGCCTCCTCTGGAGCCAGTAGGCCCCGTAAGATGAACGCCCTGCGGTAAGTAGGTGACCACCACAGGTCTTTGGGGACAAGAAGGGACAGAAAGGATATGGTGGCACACACCTGTAATTTCAGCACTTAGGAGGCTAAAACTGGAAGGGGGGAGTTTCGAGGCCAGCCTGGGTTACAGAGGAAGACTTCAAAAAGAACAAACAAGAAAGAGATGAGACGCTGGGCACCGCGTAGCAACATGCCAGTAATACCAGCACTTGGGAGGCAAGGGCAGAAGGTTAAGTTCAAGACCATCCTCAACCACATAGCAAGTTCAAAGTCAGCCCAGGCTGACTACATGAGACCCCCTTCTCAAAATTTAAAAGTGGTTGGTGGGGGGCTGGAGAGATGGCTCAGAGGTTAAGAGCACTGACCGCTCTTCCAGAGGTCCTGAGTTCAATTCCCAGCAACCACATGGTGGCTCACAACCATCTGTAATGAGATCTGGTGCTCTCTTTTGGCATGCAGACAGACGTGGAGCCAGGATGTTGTATTCATAATAAATAAATAAATCTTTTTTAAAAAGTAGTTGGTGGAGATCGGGAGCTGGAGAGAGAGCTAAACACCTAACCTAAGAGTTCCTGCTGCTCTTCTCAAGGACCTCAGTTTGGTTCCCAGAACCAACATCAGGCAACTCAAAACGGCTTGTAACTGCAACTCCAGGGAACCAACAACCTGGCGCCCAACACATAAACAATATAAATAACTATCTATACATGCATGCATACATACATGAAAAGTCACAGAAAGCTAGCTACCCAGTGATTATAACCCACTCCACCCTAGGATTGATGAAGAGTCCCCCCAACAACCCATCACCCACACTCTGGGCCCTGCTGGTGATACCCCAAAGGCTACAACTGACCTAAGACAGGCCTCAAAACAGCTTCTAACCACCCCCAGGCTACCCTGAAGGCTAGCCTGTCTTAAGGGCCTGAGAATACACATGTATATTTTTTAAAATAAATAAACAGGGTTAAGTCTGTGGTTCAGTTAAAAGTCCTAGGTTTAATCCCCAGAACTCCATGAAAAGAAAAAGAAAAAGGAAAAAAAGACATCTTTAATACTAAGACTAGGCAGAGGCAAGAGGACCCACTTTCAAGAACAATCTGTGCTATATAATAAGACCCTGGAGTTTCAAAGAACCAGTAAGTAGGCTAAGGGCACTTGATTCCCAGGTGAAAAGGAGGAAGGGACCAGGTTGAAAGGTGGCATTGGGACCCATAGTAGGGCAGAACACACTCTATACCATCTCATAAACTAATGGCCAGCTTCCCCAGGAAGGAGGGTCAGGCTCCATGGAGTTACTGTGCTAACTCTTCTTGTTGTTGCTGCTCTTGTTTGCGACAAGGTTTCACTGTTTTGTTTTGTTTTGTTGTTGTTGTTGCTTTGGGGTTTTTTTGTTGTTGTTGTTTTGTTTTGTTTTCAAGACAAGGTTTCTCTGTGTAGCCTTGGCTGTCCTGGAACTCGCTCTGTAGACCAGGCTGGCCTCGAACTCACGCTGCCTCTGCCTTCCTAGAGCTGGGATTACGGGCTTTTGCTGCAGCAGTGAACCAGATACGGCTCTGTGCTGTGCAGACAGCCAGAACAGGGCAGAGCTGGCTCCCACAACTGGGTGTGCTCATACATAATCAGAGGCTGCACAACTAAGTGTGTGTGACTGACCTGAAAGTAAAGACTCACCCTAGGTCATACCTGTGGGCTGGCAGGTCAGGGTACTGCTCCAAGCAGCCCCTGCAGTTCCTATCAACTCAGCACCCTTGGAACTGCAGCCCTGAGGGCTGACCTCAGCTTCCGCCATCCCCCAGGACATGCACTAACTGGGAAGCCCCAGTCCTGAAAGGCTCCATCACAGAACTCCCACAATGAAGAGACCGTGGGTACCAGACAGTGAGCAGGTCACTCAACCAATTCCTCAAAATCTTCCACACAGCCTCCTTTGCTCCAGAACCAATTGCTAGTTAACATGGTCATTCCTGGACTTAGCTTTGAGGAAAGAACCTGTCCTTCCAAAGCTACAATTCTGCATGGGGATTTGGGACTACCCCAATGCCTCATTCAAACAGCCGGGAAAGCTCCAGCTGATACTTAACGGACTGCATGCTGACCAGCAGTTATAACTGGAGGAATGTAAGCAAGCTAGCTAGGTGCTCTAGTGGGTAGAATGTGAGCTGACCCAGAATTATGATGGTGCAATGAGGATCAGCTATGCCGATCACTGACCCCGCCCCATCACTTCCAGGTACTACAGCACCAGAAAAAAGATTTTCTTGTGTATTTCTGAAGTTCCTGACAGCTCTTTCTTGCAAAAGCAAATTCAGTGAGTAATCACATGGAAAAGTCCCACCCTACCCCCCAAAAAAATGAACTTCAGGAACCCCCTCGGTAAGCAGTAAATATTGCTGAGACCACTGGCATGGGGTGGCTCTGGCCTGTGATGGCGGCGAGATTGCTACTAATCAAGGTTGCTTGGCTTCAGGAATGAGTCACTGGGTCGATGGCCAAGAAACAGAGTTAGGCCACCCAGCCATGAGTTCTCAGAGCAGGACCACTATCCCTACTGAAGAATGGCAGCACCCTAACCAGATGCTCCAGAGCAGGAGGCAGGTGGTGGTTCACATCTGTACCCCTATCATCCTGCCTAGCCTAAGGCCAAGTATCCCCATCACCATCTAACTGGTCACCAACCACTTTCTTTTCACACAGCCCAAACACACTTAGCATCCGTAAAACACCCAGCATCCACAATCAAAGGCAGGAAAGGCTACATGGGAACTCTCCCAAACCCAGGAGAGAAAGAGAGAGAGATGACCCTCCCACCTCCATCACAGGCCACTGCCTCTACAGCCCCGACAGCCCCTGACCAACCTGTCCACCCTCCCCTTGACCAAGGACATACCATGACCAAGTAGTTCCTGTCACAAGCATCTCTTCCCAAGCAACTTCAGACCGTCACAGAGTAGCCTGCACAGGGTGCAAACGCCAACACCAGCCTTGACACTTGCTAGCTGTGGAACCCAAGCCACTGAAAGCTCCCCATCTCAGTTTTTCCCCACTTTCATAAAATGGCCAACTGCCTTATACAGGATCATGGTGAAGTCTAACAGAAACCAAAGGAAAGGAACGAACTGTTTCCCCAGAGGTTTTCACCCAGGTACCTAGCCTCTCAAAGAGCTGGCAAAACCCTTCAGCATCCTGAACCGGTGAACTGCCATGGACACGGGTCAGAATTTAGTCATTGCTATGTCCTTACCGCAGCATCAAGTTAGTACTTCATAAATTCATGACCAGAGACCAAACTGACATTCCTAAGTTCTTTTCCTTTCTTTTTCTTGTTGAAGCAGGGTTTCTCTGTGTAGCCCTAGCTGTCCTGGAACTCGCTCTGTAGATCAGGCTGGCCTGGAACTCAGAAATCCACCTGCTTCTGCTTCCCCAGTGCTGGGATTAAAAGTGTACGCCATCACCACCCAGACATGCCAAATTTCTCTTTTTTTTTTTTTTAAGAAAGCAATTTATTTTCATAATGTGCATTAGTGTTTTGGGGTTTTATTGTTTGTTTAGTTTTTGCTTGCATGTATGTCTTTGTGAGAGTGTCAGATGCCCTGGAACTAGAATTATAGACAGTTGTGAGCTGCCATGTGGGTGCTGGAAATTGAACCCAGGTCCTCTGGAAGAGCAGCCAGTGCTCTTAACCACTGAGCCATCTCTCCAGCCCCTGCCAAAGTTCTTAATACTTTTTTTTTTCTTCTTTTAAGATGGAATCTCTCTATGTAGCTCTGGATGTCCTGGAACTTGTTATGTAGATCAAGCTGCCTTCAAACTCAGAGATATCTACCTGCAGGATTCAGGGATTAAACTCAGGGCATTAGGCTTGTCCACAGGGACCTTTACTCACAAAGTCAACTTGCCAGCCCTTAAAGGAGCTTTTAAAAGGTTTATAAGATACCTAGGGTAACAGCACATGCTTGAAGCTCCCGCACTTGGTGGATCAGGTGTTTCTAGGTCATCTTAGCCTACAAATCAAGTTGGAGGCCAACCTGGACTAAATGTAAACCTATCGTTTATAAAGGGGGTGGGGATGATAAGGAGATGGCTCCACCATGAGGGCATGAATGCATTCACACAAAGGCTGGGTGGGCACAGTGCATCTGCAACCTCAGAGCTGGGGGGTGGGGTGGAGACAGGTGCATCCCTGGAACTCCTTAACAGCCAGTCAGGGGCACCAATTGGTGAGCCCAAGGTTCAGTTCAAGACCTCTTCTTAAAAAACAAGGTTGTGGTAGTTTACAAACAGTAGGACATACTAAAGAGGAGGCAGGAGGATCCCAAATTTGAGGCCATCCTCTGAGGTATACATCTGGGCTGGAGAGATGGTTGAGAGCAGTTGAGAAAACTGGCTTTTATTCCAAAGGAACCAAGTTTGAGTCCCAGCACCCACACAGCAGCTCACAACTGTAACAACAATTCCAGGGGATCTGATGCCCTCTTCTGGCCTCTGAGGGCAGGGCACAGTGTGGTGCACAGACATGCATATAGGCAAAACACCCATGCACATCTTTACAAGTTGGAATTTACAGGAATTAAATAAAAAGTATAAATAAATAAGGTGGGGAATGTTAGATTTCAAACTCAGGACAAATGGCTGAGATGTCTATTTAACATATCAGAAGGGATGCTGGCCACAAGGTTCTCCCAGCATCCCTCAGTACCTGTTAGAGTCATCCTAGCTGGCGTACCCCACCCCCTACCCTAAACTTTCCAGTCCAGGCCCTGGGCTGGGCGTCCCTTCCCCCCAGCCTCTGATCCCTGTATAACTTCAGCCATTTTGGCTACCGGCCTCTTTGTCTCGTGGTCCCTGGGTTCCCAGGTGTCCTCTTTGTTCCCTCTCTCCTCTTCCTCGCCTGTCCTCCCCACCTTCTCATGGCCTGGTTCAGTCTGGACCCTTCAAGATGCCTCTGGCTACTCTCTCCCTCATATCTACAATTAACCTTCTCCTCAAGCACACCTGGGAACAGTCATGTCCTTTTTTTTTTTTCCATTCATCAGGTGCTGAACAGGGACAACTGAGGAAGTCACTCAGTGCTTGTGGCCTCCATATGCAAGCACACAGTTACATACACATACATACACCATGCACCTGCTTCTCAGAGTCTTGAACGTCACCTTGTAGGCACTTCCTATATCTAATTCTCACAAAACTATTAGGCAGCAGGTCCCAAAACTTCGAAGTGTGCCACTGTGCCATACAGCTCCTTCTGGACGGCCCAGGAGGCAGAGGAGTCAGACAGAGAGAACCCAGCTAGACAGGGAGGGGTGGAGCAAAGTCCAATAACCTGAGACAAGCCAGAGTCAATCCACCCCAACGTCCTGCCCAACCCACACTCCATCCTGGACAGGCCCTCCCAGCTGTGGCTCCAGCTGGACACGCACACACACAGAGGCTGGGGCTCCAGTGAACAGCCACCAAGCCAATGCAGGACAGGCTGAGACCCTGCACACCTGTAGGCAAGTTATGGTACTTCAATCACTAGACCTGACAACACCCAGTGCTGGGGGGGCGTCTACTGCCGTCCTTCAACAGTGGGGTGGGGGGCGCTGGAGAAAGGGACAGAGCACTCAGAGGTTCAGGCATAGCAGCCAGAGGCCCCTACTGTCTCAAGCCTATGCAGGACCAAAACCAGAAAGACCTCTCCGGAATTCGGAGCAGATCAAACCTCACTCCCCACTACCCAGGCCGGCTCAGAGAAGCCGGCACTACAGCAAACTCAGGGCTCAAGCAGGCTGCGCCATTTGCTCTAACTGGTTTCTTTCTTAGCTTCTATATCCATCTTTACAAGGAAACCGGAAAATAAATCGACTCACAAGATTGTGACAATGCAATGAGTGGCCCTAGCAAGTGAGTGCCCAGAATATTTAGAGCTCTGTTGTTGCTGTTTTGTGCCACTGGTGAACCCTTCCAGGTGAGCCTTGTCTTAGTGCTGAGGTGAGGAAGGGGGAATCAGAGGGCTGCCAACTGTTAGATCCATCAGCAGGCCATCTAACTATCCCCCAGATACTGGCTCTCAACGTGAAATTAAGGTGGGATACCTGCCCGGATTTTATACCTATGCAGCAACAAGCATTGCTGTCTACCAGCTCGGGCCACTCAGTGGGCTCCTCCTCCTTCAACCCCAGCCCTGCCTGACTGGGGTGTCGGAGCACGTGGCCCCAGCCCTGGGGAGCCATTACGCTCCTAGAGCAGCGCGGCAGGCAGGAAAGGCATCGTAGGTTTCAAACTTAAGCGCGCTAGAGAAACCTCTTCTTGCGTACACCACCACCATCCCCGCCCCGACCCAGCCGGCTTGTAGGGTTCAGTGAACACATGCCAGGGCCGGCAACAGAAGTTACAGGCATGAGCATTTAACAGATTCCACAGTGATTCGGCCATTGGTTGGCCGCGATTTGATAGTGGATGGATCTGGGGCAACCTAAGTAGAGCCAAGCTCACTAAGCGGTGTCTTGGGAGAGTTTGAAGACCTCCGACCACCCACCCGGCCAGGAGACCCAACGCTTTGCATTTATGATTAGAGAACAAACGTGGGACCGCAAAGTTTGCGGAGGAGACCCATATGCAACAGGGAACAGAAGCAGGCTCAGGTACTCTTTTCCCAAAACGCCTCCCCACCTGGCCTGCCTAGCCCACCCAGTTGGCTACCGCCGAGCTTTGTGCAAGTAAAGCGTGGCCCCGAAGCGCCTACAAGTCCCACAATGCAGCACCGACCCGGCATGGAGAACTACAGCTCCCGCGAGGCCGCGCGCGCAGAGGTCCGCCTACTCCAAGAGGGCTGCAGAGTCACGTCCAGGCCTCGCTAGTAAACAGCGCCCGGGTGCGGGCGGCGGGCAAGCAAGCTAGTGAGTGCCAACGTGTGGGGGACCGCGGCTTCTCTACTGGCAGCGCGGCCACTGAAGGTCCACGTACGGCCCGCAGCGCCAGGCGAGCACGCCCCCAACACTGCTGCAGCCCTGCTCTCTGCAAACGCTCACACCGCCCGGCTCCCCGCCTCCCCCCCCACAGCCTGGAGCCACAGCATGGCTGCATCGTAGCTGTCCTCAGGCACGCCCTGGACCCCCGAAAACCTCCTTAGAAGAGGGTTCCCAGAAAGCGCCAGGAAGCAGGGAAAGGAAGGAAGCCAAAGCGGGCGGGGGGAGGAGGAAGCGCGGGGTGAAAGCCACCAGCAGCAAGCATGGCCGGGACTGCTGCAGCACCACGTGGGTCTGTTTGCAATTTACAAACGTCGCGACTCGCCCGCCTGCAGCGGACAAAAGTGGCCAGGGCCTTTCGGGGTCCCCATGTTCCGAGGGAAGAGGGTCCCCAGGCAGCGCGAGCCGGGCACACGAGACTGCAGCCGACCCGGTGGCTAAGAAAGGCGAACGAGGACAGAGGCGCGGGCCATGCGTGCGCACACGCGCACCCGCCCGGGCGGGCTGGCCGGCCGGGGGCTGCAATGGGAAGAAGGGGTTGGGGGGGAGGAGCAGTACACACCTACAGAGCCCTCCTATCACTTCTTTCTCTGTTTTCCTGAAATGTTGCAAAGAGGGCACCTTCTGAGTGGGCACCATGAAATACTCCATAGCGATAGGCCCCCCTCCTCTGCACGAGCCAGGTCTCGCGGTCAGCCGGAGAATGCAAGATGGAAATCCGAATCAAAGGGCAGCGCCAGACGGAGGTGCAGAATCGGCCGGTCCCAGATGCTGGCGGCGGCAGCAGCGGCGAGGGGAGGGAGGTGGGCGGGAGGGGCGAGAGGGAGGTCTCTCCAGCCTGCCTCCCCGGGCGTGTGTATGTGTGTGTGTTTGCAGCTGATCAGATGTCTGTTTCAAGGCGGGAAACAGCTGGTGAAAACTCAGCACTCCCCCGGCCTCCTTCCGCGGAGTAAGGAATTGCATGTAAACAAAGGACTATTTGCAGCGCCCCCCCACGGGCGGCTGGATGCCGGGGCGAGAAGGGCGCAGGCTCCTTGCAACCAACTGCAACCTGGGTCTGCAGACCTAACCCCGGGATCAGGGGTTCCCGGTCGCCAGCTGGCTGTGAGGGACACGGTGTGAATGGAGTGAGCAGCGGCCCAGCTACATGCGCCACTATGGGTGATGAGGTCCATCAGCTGACAGGTTGGCAAGCGTAGCTAAAAAGAAAGGAAAAAAAAAAAAGCCTGCCACCGCGCGGGATCCCAGACTGTGCAGCCCAGGGTCCAGTGGGGACTGCCCAGCGCAGGGTCTGTGCGCACCGCTGCCCTGGGGGACGCGCACTGGGCGGGGTTGCAGCGGTAAAGTGAAGACTGCCTAGGGTGCGTGCTTATGGCTTTTGCTTTTTCATGATTGCCACTGCACGGAGCGGAGCCGCTCTGGCGCGCTCCCTTTCGAGCCTACCCGGGCCCCCTGGAAACTTGCGTCATAGCCACCGCTTCCCACATGTAACTTGGGGCTGACTCTGACCACCCGCCAGCCTCCTCCCTCCGTCTCTGCCTAGATGGCTTCCCGGCCCGGACTGTGACTGGAAGAATTACAGAGTGCGAAGGGTACAAATAGCCAAGGCAGGTATGCAGGGCACCTAGGATGCTGGGGCTGCCCTAGGGAGAGAGAGCAAGCGGAAAGAGAGGGAAGGGCGGAGGCAAGCCAAAACAGCAGCGGCCCCTTGGGGCAGACTGCCAGCGCGGCCCGAAGATCCATTAGAGGTCTGGTGGTGGCTGCCAGGTCCTGTCCTGGCTCCTTCACTACCTTACTTTCCGGCTTCGCGCTCAGCGAGCAGCAGCGTCTCATTCATGGGGAAGGCGGGGTGGAACTTGCTCCACCGCCAGAGGGCGCTCCCTACTATGGGGGGCGTGATGGTCTGGCGAGGGGAGGGGGGACACTTTAGGGGTGAGCTTCCGTCCTCTTCCACGCCCCCACCTTCCGGTCCCAGGCCTTCCCCAGGCTCCTGAAGGGCTTGGCCCCAGGCTCAGGAAGCCACGCCTGCCTTGGAATGTCCTCACTCATGCTCAGCGCCTTTCCCAGCTCCATCCGCTCCTGAGTTCCACCCAAATCGCGCCTCTTAGTTGAAATACTTACATTAATAACAATTGTTAGTTATTATTAGAAAACATTGTTATTGGATATTACCAACATCCAGGACATACCTAGTTAATTTTGCATGTGTATTTGTCAGTCTTCAGATCAACCTGTTAAGCAATTTCTCTTAAGTTTAGATCCCAGATCAATTAGCATTTAATTCCCAGGGAGACGTAAAATTCAGCACATCCTAGTCGGCTGTGCAGTGCACACCTGTAATCCAGCATCCTAGCACTTGGAGATGGAAGATGTGCATCCAAGGATAGCTGTAGAGATTGTCTCTAGAGACACAGGAAGGGGAAGAAAACAGGAGGGCAGGTGAAATGACCCCAGGGTTAAAAATGTTTGCAGTCATGTCTGATGACCTGTATTTCATTCCCAGAACCCCCATGGTACAAGGAGAGAAGCAATTCCCACAAGTTGTCCCTGACCTTGCCATGTGTGCTGTGCCAGGCACGTGCATACACAAAAATTTTAAAGAATTTAAAGGAAGGAAAGAATAAGAAAAAAGGACATTCTTGAATCCTTGGGGAGTTCGATTTTTTTTTTAATGTCTAGGAATGAGAGTACATCTGGGTACCAGGTGTGCACCTGGTGCCCTGTGAGGCCAGAAGAAGGCATTGGATCCTCTGGAACTGGAGTTACAGATAGTTGTGAGCACTATGTGGGTACCAGGAATTCAACCCAGATCCTCTGGAAGAGCAGCCAGTGCTAACTGCTGAGGCATCTCTGCAGCACTTAGAGGTTTATTTGTTTATTTGTTTTGTTTTGTTTTTTACTGGTGTTACAGACAGTTATAAACTGCCATGTGGGTGCTGGGAATTGAACCCAGGTCCTCTGGAAGAGCAACCAGTGCTCCTAACCATTGAGCCATCTCTCCAGCCCCCTTATTTTTGTTTTTTGAAACAGGGTCTCCTGTATTCCAGGATGACCTCAAATACTTCCTCCCGAGGGCTGGGGTGACAGGTGTGCACCACCCAAGATTTTTATATCCTAGCACACCCACACCCCTCTGTCATCAGGGCCTTATTTATACTTTCATATACTTCTCCTGTCACCCTTGGTTAGATGTGACCTTTATTAACTAACCCAGATTTGTCTTCCAGAGAAGAGGGTGTATACTTTGGCCCCTTCCTTACAAAAGGGGTGACGGGCTGGAGAGATGGCTCAGAGGTTAAGAGCACTGGCTGTTCTTCCAGAAGTTCTGAGTTCAATTCCCAGCAACCACATGGTGGCTCACAACAATCTGTAATGAGATCTGGTGCCCTCTTCTGGTGTACAAGCATGCATGCAGGCAGAACACTATGTATAATAAATTAATCTTTAAAAAAAAAGGGGGGGTGACATGATAGAAAGGGACAGTCTTTGTGGCAGACCCACAAAGACTAATTCTCGGAGAGCTTTGAGATTTAAAAGCTGACATTCAGATACTGGAGAGATGGCTTAGCAGTTTAGAGCATTTGCTGGTGTGCCAGAGGACCATAGTTCTGTCCCAGAGCCTGACTCATCTGGCTCACAGCTACCTGTAACTGTTCCTAGAGGAAATTTTATGTCCTCTTCTGGTCTCTTCAGATTCTGCACACATGTGCACTCACATGCACAGGTACACAAATACACATAATTAAAAATAAAAATAAAGCAAGGAGCGGTGGTGGCTCGCACTTTATTATTTATTTAACTTAGAAACAATCTTATTTTACATATCAATCCCAGTTCCCTCTCCCTCCCATCCTTCCATGCTCCTCACCCACCCCATCCCCCATCCCACCTACCATCCACTCCCCAGGGAGGGTGAGGCCTTCCATGGGGGATCATCGAAGTCTGTCACATCATTTGGGGGAGGGCCTAGGCCCTCCTCCAGCTCACACTTTTAATCCCAGGATCCCAGAAGCAGAAGCAGGCCAATCTCTGTGAGTTTGAGGACAGCTTGAACTATATAACAAGTTTCAGGTCAAGCAGCATTATACAGTAAGAATTTGCCTCAAAAAGCGGGGGTGGGTGAATGGGTGCTGGAGAGATGGCTCAGTGGTTAAGAGCACTGACTGCTCTTCCAGAGGACCCAGATTTGATTGGGAACACCAACATGGTAGCCCACAACAATCTGTACCTCCAGTTCCAGGGGACTCAGTGCCACCTTCTGTCCTCTGGGCCCCGGGCATGCTTGTGGTACACAGACACAGATGCAGGCAAAATACTCAAAGATTTACAAAAATAACTTTAAAAACTGGCAATATGACTCAGTGGGTTAAAAAAAAACAGCAAGCTTTGCTACATAAACCTCATCATCTGACTTCACTCCCTGGACCCCATGGGGACTTCATACATCCTCATACCATGATATATGTGTGTATCCACATTCACACAATAAGACTAATGGTGTTTGTAGGGCATAGCAGTGCATGTCTTTAATACCAGATTCTATACCAGCCAGAGTTATACAGTGAGACCCTGTCTCAAAGAACAAAATCTTTAAATATAATAACAATAAAGTTCCACAGGCGTTGGGGACACACACCTTTAATCCCAGCACTCAGGAGGCAGAGGCAGGCAGATCTCTGAGTTCAAGACCAGCCTGGTCTACAGAGTGAGTTCCAGGACAGCCTCCAAAGCCACAGAGAAACCCTGTCTCGAAAAAAAAAAAAACCAAAAGAAAGGAAGAAAGAAAGAAAGAAAGAAAGAAAGAAAGAAAGAAAGAAAGAAAGACCTTCAACCACACTTATTGCAGTGGCTTCGGCCTGAAATTTCAACACTTGAGATAAGGCAGAAAGACCCTGATTTCAAGGCCAGCCTGTGCTACAATGGGAGACCCTGTCTCAAAAAATAGAACAAACAAACAAAACTCTATTCCTGGGGAAGAATTTAGGGCTGCTACAGTTTTGTGCCATTTTTTCTTTTTTGTTGTCTTTTTTTTTGTTTTGTTTTGTTTTGTTTCGAGACAGGGTTTCTCTGTGGCTTTGGAGGCTGTCCTGGAACTCACTCTGTAGACCAGGCTGGTCTTGAACTCAGAGATCTGCCTGCCTCTGCCTCCCGAGTGCTGGGATTAAAGTCGTGCGCCACCACCGCCCAGCTCCACAGCCTCTTTGCCCCAAATAAACACAGGGACTCTATATTAATTTATAAATTGTTGGGCAATGCCTTAGGCTTCTTATTGGCTAGCTCTGTCTTAATTATTAACCCATTTCCCTTAATGTATGTATTGCCGAGAGGCTGTGGCTTACCCGTAATCCGGCATGTTACCCCTTGGGCAGCATGTCGTCTCCTCGAGGCCTCTCTCTGCCTTCCTCTCTCCAGCCTT